AGGACTCGGAGGTTCCTTCAGCTTAATCAGAGGCAGAGCCAAGGGGCCACCACTGTTTCCTGATCTGATCTGGCAGCGACAAGTCTTTGCCATCTCAGTGTGCATCAAAAAAAACAACTTCGGGAACCACTGAACACATTCAAAATTGTCCTGAACCCTCCCCCTGACTGATTTGTCCACAGGAATGATCCTGTCAACACCCATCCTCTGAAAACCTGCTGGTAGAATTTTGAAGTTATGAATGTATTTGTGTTCTTCAAAGGAATGGAGCCAGGGGACAGCGTGTCCTTAAACTGGCAAGAAGCTACCCTGAGCACGACTGTTAGATCTTTGTCAGGTTCAACTGCAGGAACTCATTGACCCCAGCCAGCATGTCAGGATGACGCCCGTTATCAATGATGACTGACATTGAGTATACATCTCTACCATCTTCTGGACCTCCGGCCCGAGACCTCTGCTGATGCCCAGAAGCCCCCGTGCCACCCAGTGGGTAGAGAGGCCGTAAATCTTTATGGGAGCAGAAAACATCATCTTCCCAAGGAACACCTGGGGGGTTCAAACTGCTGACCTTGTATTTAGAGCCCAATGTTCAACTCACAGCAATCTGGCCCCCCCTACCCCTCCCCCACCACCCCCCAAAACCCTCTGTAGGCCAAAGTAGAATGCTTCATAGGGTTTCTGAGACAAAACCTTTATGAGAGCAGGCAGCATCATCCTTCTCCAAAGAGCGGCTGGTGGGTTAGAACTACCATCCTTGTGGTTAGCAATTGAACCCACAGCACCACAAGGGCTCCTTTTGTCTCTAGCCCAGTAGTTCTCAAATGGGGGTCCCCTGACCCACAGCATCAGCATCTGCTGGGAACTTGCTAGAAATGCAAATCCTTGGTCTTCAACCTACATAATCAGAAATCCCAGGGGTGGTGCTTGGGAATCTGTTTCAGAAGCCTTCCAGAAGATTCTGATGCCCACGTGCTCAAGTGTGAGAAACCCTGCTCAAATCTTATTAGGCTCTCAGAAGAGTGGTGGGTGCAGTGCTGTGGACATTGCACTCGAACTCTACATGCGCTCTCCTCTGAGTGACTGCCACAGTCTCCTCTTTGTGAACTGCCCTTGCTGATGCCTTCGTGAAAAGGAGCCTGGCGGTGCCATGGTGAAGTGTTGGGCTGATAATGTAAGGTGAGTGGTCCAAACCCATCAGCCACTCTACAGGAGAAAGATGAGGCTGTGTGCTCCCGTAAAGAGTTGTTGTTGTTGTTAGATGCCATTAAGTTGGTTCTGACTCACAGCAACTCAATGTTCAAGACTTTAGTCCTGCACCACCCTCACACTCTGTTCTACGTCTGAGCCATGACTGCAGCTGTGGCGTGTCTCTCTCTCTCTCTCTCTCTCTCTCTCTCTCTCTCTCTCTCTCTCTCTCTCTCTCTCTCTCTCTCTCTCTCTCTCTCTCTCTCTCTCTCATGCAAGGTCTTCCTCTCTTCTCCTGACTCTAGTTCACCAAGCTCGATGTCCTTCTTCGGAGACTGATCGCTCCTGACAACAGGTCCAAAGAATGTGAGTCACAGTCTCACCCTCCTCACTTCTAAGGATCGTTCGGGCTGGGCTTCTTCCCAGATAGATTTGTTTGTCTTCCTGGCAATCCATGGTATAGCTTGTTGTTGTTGAGTATACACACAGCCAGGCACACAGCAATTTCTACAGGTTCGATTCCGTGACATTGATTACATTCTTCAGGTCAGGCCACTAAGCTCATCTACCTTTTCCAAGTTGTTCTTCCACCATTAGCATAAGCTCACTGCCTCCCTTACTGCTTCTCCAATCTTTTGAATTGGTGTTATCAATTCTAGCTTATCTAGCTTATTCAAAGATCATAACACAGATGGCAGGCATTCCTTCTTAATTACGCTAACCTATTGTTTGACTTAAAGACTTCATGGGGGTATTTTCAATTCTAAGATTTAAGACGTAAAGACGACCTATAGGGGTCACAGTGAGTCTGCATTGCCTCAACGGCCGTGACTTTGTTGTGTTTTCCTTGAGTAAAGTGAGCCGGGTGCATATGGAGGAAGAGCGGTTCAGGTCATGGACCAGCCGGTGCAAAGATGCTGTCACCGGAGCAAGCGTGGCATCCTGGGATGTCACCGGAGCAAGCGTGGCATCCTGGGATGTCGAGAAGAGGCAGCAGCTGGAAGGTCAAGGACCACAAAAGGAGATGCGTTTCAAGAAGTGGGTGGGCACCAGGTCCTGTAGAGCCTTGCTCATGAAGAGGACAGGATGGCACCGGGCCTGAAGGCAAACAGCAGCGGAGCTGGCACCAACGTGGGGCCCAAGCCCCGACCACATCTTGCCCCGAGGGAGCAGAGGCCGAGTCACACCGCCTTGACTTTCATGCAATTCACAACAGCAGCAAGCAGCAACGATGCTTGTTCTGCGCCACGCTTGGTGCTAAAGGCTTCCAGGTGTGACCTCACTCGTAGTCCAAGAGAGAGGCGCTACCATGATTAACTTAGCACAAACGCTCCCAGCCGGTCCCACACAAGGGTCACAGGCAGAATGGATCCCCCGGGGCTCGCTGCACAGTGGGCGGGGTGAACTGGAGACTATTCTAAAACAATCTCCCATTCTCTCGCTCCTTAACTGGCCCATTGAAAAATGTTACAAACAATGAAGAAAGATTTCTCTCTAGGAGGCTGTTCTGAATGGCCAACCTAGACCCCAGCAATTGTCCCAAGAGTCGGGCCTTGTGCCATGCGCGACAGTGGCATTAACAGCACAGGAGCAGAAATCCAAGATTTGTGGGACTCGTGGGAAGGGGAAGACTGACCAGCCTGAACCAGTCCTGGAGCAGGGCTGGGGGCAGGGCAGACTGGACTGCCAAAGCTAGGAGGGTTGCTGGAGGTGGAGGGGGCGGGGGCGGGGGGTGGGGATGGGGGGGAAAGGCTGGCAGAGATTGTCCTCTAGGCGAGGGAGAAGCCAAATGGAAACAGGTCATTAATGTGGGTGCGGGCTGGTGAGGCCAGTGAAGGGCTGTGTTTAAAGGAAATAATTTCCGAAAGGAATCAGAGAGCTGGGTGGGGAGGTGAGGCCGGGAGCCAGAGAAAGGCTCTCATGGAGTCCGTCATTCTGCTGCGTGGACCTGGCAATGAATCTGAGCAATGAGCGTCCATGAAGCAGAAAACAAAACGGTCTGAGGGTCTGTCTGACTTCCTGTGACTTGACAGGGGGCGGAATCACCATATCGCATCAGCTGCCCCAGGCCCATCCTCTGAGGCAGGGGTCCAGCAGGCTTCCACCCTCTGGGCTGCTTCTCCAATTCTGACCCCGGCCATTCCCTCTCACAGCACTCTGCTTCTCAGAGGGGTTCGAGAGCGCATTCCAGTGGCCACACAACTCACAGACTCTACTCACAAGGATGGGGTGTATTAGGGAAGTTACAATTCTGGATTAGAAATGTTCAGGATATAATTCTTTGGTCAGGACAGCCTCCATGCTCAAAAGCAGGGCTCCAGCAAGTCAGCAAGCCTAGCTTCATCACTAAGTGCCTGGCCTAGAGGGACCCCATTCTACCTGCAAGTCTCCTGCCCAAAGGCACTCAGCTGTATGGATGGGTTCGGAACCCCACCACTGTCTCGTGCTCTGGCTCCTGGTTTTGCTGCTACCCCCCCCCTCCTCTGACCCTGCTCTGGTGCCATTGCCTTCTGTCCCTGGATGGAGAAAGGTCAATGTGCAGGAATCTCAGGAGCCAAAAGACACAGCTCCTCAATCTTGATTGTAGTGAGATCCTCCTACTGTTGAGCTGTCGGGCTGTTAAACCCAGCTGAATGGCCAACTGACCAACCCTCTTAGTGGAGTCTTTATCATTACAATTAACCCTACTGTGCTTTACAAGTAACTCACTCAACTCAACCACATAGTCTATCATCATCTTCCTCCACCTCCTCTTACCCAGACCCATCCAGAAGAAGGTGTGTGGTGGGAGTTACAAAGACCAGTCTACAGGTAGAAGAGCCCCATCAAGCCCCACAGTCCTTCAACCCAGCTGGAAAAGACCGGCCATGGGCCAGAGTCAGGGGCTTAGGAGCTCCACTGCTCTGTTCCGCTTGGTTGTCCCAGAGCTCAGACTCCTGTCTCCATGCCCCGCCAACCCCAGAGAGGTGTCCTCACCCCCGTAGTCAAAGCTGGCACACATTATTGAAACGGACAAGCTCATGCCATCCCAGTTCTTTAATTGACCTAAAGGCTAAGCAAAAACTGTGACAAAAGTGCTTCCCTCTGAAGGCCTCCTCCCCCACTCTGACAGGCCTTTGATCTGCTCCAGGCAACCTGTGCTTTGTCATCACAGTGGAAAGCAGGCCTGTCGTTTTGCTTAGGACAATCCTTGTTTGAACTACTTCTCTCGGATTCCGCATCAGAGAGGAGCAGTCAGTTTTTGTCCCCCGGACAGGTGTGCCGATTTTCTCACCAGGAACGCCTACTAAAGACCAGATCCAGGGAGGGATCACAAAACAAGGTGTCTAAGACTCCCTAAATCTACTTTTGTTTTACTTCGGTCCATTCCATTTACTTAGGCTTACTTGGTGATAGATGAGTTTTTAACTTGTTTTTTTCTGCTCTCTGTATCCCTAAATGATACTAAAAGGCTCCCCCAAAGGGATACCCCCACTGCAGCATGGCGGCTCGTCCTGCCGTCCCCGCTAGCCTGAATACGTCTGCTTCTGCCATCTTGGCCGGGCTCTGTCCCCTCAGCCTCACACCTGTGTTGGTGCTCTCGTGCTTCAAGAGGCAGTGGGGGAGTCATGAGCGGAGAAGGTTCTTGGAAAAGACTTTGATCAATTGGGCCAGAGAATCTACCGGTGCTTCCGGTCTAATGACCATCGCTTTCGCTCCACCTTGGTCAGAGCAACGGTGCCCTCTCCACCCTGGAATGGACAAGCCTGTCACTGAACACAGGCAGCGGGACCTGGGTCCCCTGGGCTTACCACTGAACTCTCCTCTCTTCTCAGGGTGTAATGTCGAAAATGCCTGCTACCCGCTGGGCATCTGTGCTGAACGGACTGCCATCCAGAAGGCCATCTCAGAAGGGTACAAGGACTTCAAGGCAATCGCCATTGCTAGGTGAGTGGGAACGCTGGGGGCAGTGAGATTCATTCCTCCAGGCAGCAAACACGCACCTTTAGCCTGCCATTCATTCATCTAGCAGATGCTGTGCACAGGGCACTGTGTAGGACCCTGGGCCTAGTGCTAAGGATAAGGAAGTTAATGAAAACGGACTCTGTCCTTGGTGAGCCAACACAGCCAGAAACCATTCTGACTCCTCGCTGCCCCGCCAGACAGAGCAGAACCGCCCCAGAGAGTTTTTACAAAAGCAGATCTCTGCAGCTTTCTCCCGGAGTAGAGGAGGGGTTTGAGCCACAGGCCTTTAGGTTAGCAGCCAAATACGTAGCCCACTGCACCACTGGGCTCCTCAACACAAGGGCAGGTGTGTTCGTGTACTAACAAAAGCACAAGAGCATGACAAACACCCCCAACATCGAGCAGAGAGGCAACACAGACACCTGAAGCCAGGAGGAGCCTCAGGTCACTGGCTGTAGACAGCCCCCCGCCACCCCACCCCCTCCATTTTATAGCCACCGACACTGAGGTCCAGGATAGGCTACAGGAGGGGCGAACCTTGAAAACCTATGCTGAGCTCAGGCAGACAGTCACAAAGGACAAACGTGTGATCTCCCATGAGCTCTCTCAAAGGCCAATGTACGGAGACCAAGGCATGTCCATGGGAGCCATGGACTAGGAAGTCGGTTACTGTTTCTGGTGATTGAAAAGTTGGCCGTGATTATGATCAAGAGTGATGCGACATGATGGAAAAATACTGAATCGGTGACTGTTCTGTGATATGTGTGTGTACACACATGCATACTTAACAATTGGGACCCTTCCGGTGGAACTATTTGGAGAGGGATATCAATAACCGTGGCACAACACAAAGAATACCATCAATGGCACTGAATCGCACATGTAGAAGTTGTTGAGCTGGGGAATGTTTTACTGGAAAAACATAATTACATGAATAACCAGGAGTACAAGGAAGAAATGTTCTAAAATGGATTGTGGTGACAATCGTACCAAACTTCTTGATATGATATGTGGATGAAGTGCCAATAAAACTGTTCTAAATAACTAAAAGTGCTAGTTTTATAAAGGCAAGAGAAAGAAAAAGAATGTAGACCCTTCAAAAATAAAAAGAAACTGAAGCCCAGAGAGGCTGGAGCACTTCCCAGGAGTGAGTGGTTGAGCCCAGACAAGAGACCGAGTCTCCGGAGTCTGGGCTCTTTCTGCTGTACCATGCGGTGCCAGGAGGCAAAACGCTTTTCCAATGCGCCTCTGGCTTCTTCACGCACCACACTCACCAACGCCCGGTGTGTCTGGGCAGTCAACCTAGCAGTTGGCAGGCAGGCCGGCACTGATACTGTTCAGTCCCGGTTCAGATTCCAGCCAAGGTACTGGCTGAACAAGAGCCCCAGTCAGCCCTCTGGATGCCCTGGATGTCCCAGGCCCCGTGTGCCTGTTTACCGGCAAAGGCAGGAGGCGGGTGCTCGTTGGCCCTGCACCAGGAGGCAGTGGCTTCAGGAGTCCATCTGGGACATGGGCTCCTGCTAATGTGCATGCCATTACATGTCCGATTTAATGGTCAGTGGTTCTAAGAGGACGTTCGTGGCCAGTGCAGGACACAAGAAACTGGCATGAGAAATGAGACTGCCCGGCTGGCCCGTGTTGGTCCTGAGGGGCACCTGGCTACAGTGTGGGTCACGCACCGGCATGAATTCGGGCAGCACGGCAGGGACTTTCCTGGAGCAGAAACGCAGGCTGGTTCTACAGCAGGGGCGGCTGGGGCCGTGGACAGAAACAAGCCCACTGTGCTTTTACAAGATGCTGAGTTTGGCCTTGGCCTGACTCTGGCCCAGAGTGGTCCAGCCTACTGAAGGCTTGCTTCTAAGTGACGGAAGCCCACAGTCCACCTACAGGAAGGGCCCCCGTGTCTCCAGCCCACCCGAGGACCCAGGGCTGTGCTGGCTTCCCCCCGGCTTCGGGACCAGTGGATGCGGCCGAGCTGGGAACATTGTGTGCGACAGAACTGAGAGCAGAATGTGAATGACACTCGATGTGAAAAGGAGGGAAATAGCTCCACTGCCAAACCGATCCAAGCAAATCATGATGTTCTGGGGAAACGAGGCCGAAGTCAACAGAAGGGCAATGGCATGGCAGCAGCCTGGCTCTGTCTGGAGTTTTCCAGATGAAAGGCTTTTTCTCATGGGCGTGATCGCCCTCTCAACACGGCTGGGTGTTACGCGTGATGATTGGCGATGTCCTTATTGACCCCAAACCGGGGCTCATCTGCACTGGACTCTGAGTATTCATCCTCTGCGGCATCCCCCCAGGAGCCCTGGCCGGCACCCCCAGTCACGACTGCACTCTTGGATCGTTAGCTTGAGGGGGTGGGTTTAGAGCCAGTGTGGAAAGCGCCAACCCCCTTGTTGGTGTGGAACAGCGTGGAGGGCCCTGCGCCCTCTGTCAGGATGCACAAGCCCCCTCAGCGTAGCCCAGGACGCCACAGGACCCAGGAGGGGATCTCGCGAACAGAGAGAGGAACGGCCTTCACAGGAGCCCAGCCTTCGCTAAAGCCATCCAGGTCAACCCACAACCAGCAAGCCCATTCTGTGTCTGGCCTGCGAGTCTGATAAGCCTGGCTTCAACACAGGACCAAGTACAAACCACAGCAAACCGTAAATCTCCTACAAGGGGCACAAGCTGGGGAAGGGCAGGGGATTCGGAGAAAGGGGGACGTGTGTGGGGAGGCTGTGATGATCTCTCTGAGGGGCATTTTCTGCCCAGGCTCCCAAGATGGTTGAGGGATGGTTAAAAGTCCAGGCTCCAGGGTTTGAGACCCAGTTTCAAATTCAACTCCACGGTTAGCTTGGTCTGTGGCCTCAGGCATTTTGCTTAAACCCTCAGAGCCTGGAGTTTCTGCTGTGAAATAGAGAAGGAGTTAAAGCATCCCCATTGGACCATTTTGATAATTCAACTAAATTATTTCAATGCAGTCCCTAGAACAGAGTATGCAGAATCAACACCGTTTTTATCTTATTATTACTTCTGCAAGGCATACAACTTCCAAAGACAGCGTAGTCAGGAAGCTAGATTTTAGGTTCAAATCCTGGCTCTGTGACTTTTTATCTCTGGGTAAGCCACTTCCCCTTTTACGACCTATCAAAAAACAAAAAACAAACTCACTGCCATCATCAAGTTGATGCTGACTCCCAGCAACTCTATGGGACAGGGCAAAACTGCTACCTTGGGCTTTTGAAACTGTAACTCTTGACGGACATGGAAAGCCTCATCTTTCTCCTGCAGCGCAGCTGGTGGTTTCGAACTGCTGACTTTGCAGGCAGCAGCCCAGTCCACGACCACATCAATAATAAAGAATGCCTGAATCAAAACCGGTTGGTGCTGAGTCAATTTCTGCTCCTGGCAAACCCACACGTGTTGAAGTAGAAGCAGATTCACCAGGCCTTTCTTCTGAGATGCTTGTGGGTGGACTCAAACCTTCGATCTTTCTGTTAGCATTAACCATTTACACCACCCAGATAGCCCGTAGGTGCATCTGGGTAAGGGCTGGGCTGCAAACCTCAAGGTTAATGATTCAACCCTCCCAGCTGCTCAGTGGGAGAAAGCCAAGACTATCTGCTCATGTAAAGGTCGGGGCTCCAATCCTCCTGCAGCTCTGTGGGAGCAAGACCTATCGATTTGCTTCTGTGACGATTAAACAAACAAACCTACCACCACCTAGTCGATTCGGCTTCACAGGGACACTGTACAGTTTCTGAAGCTGTCAGTCTTTAAGGAAACAGGCAGCTCACCTCTCTCCCACGGAGCATCTAGTGGGTTTGAACTATCAGCCTTGTGGTTAACAACCCATTGCTTATCTGACTGTGTGTTGCATGAGTCTGAAAAAGAATTTATAGACTGACATTGGGCATATGGGCTAATCTCAGACTTACAGTCTTGATCTACACTTGGCTGGGCTGCTTTCTTAATATACAATGACTCTGCTATAAAGCTCTCTCTTACACACTTGTGAGTGTCTCTGGGTTTGTTTCTCTAGTCTACCCAGACTCACACCATCATCTGAGTCTCCCTCTCTGCTTTAAATTGAACTGGCCCAGGAGATCCCCTTGGAAGCCATTCTTAGGATCGGGTCCTTTTTTGGAAGGCACCCTAGGGAGACGAAGGCCAGTGCGTTCCTGAGAGAACCTGTCTGCAGCCATCTACTGCTTGTGGAGACATTAGTCAACATGTTCTGTCTTGTAATAAAGTGGCAGCCTGGTAGCAATACTCTGACTCCCCCTCATATTAACACTTCACTGGGAGAACTCTAGTTTACTATGTTGCCCATTGGGCTATGTAATCTCTTGAAATCCAGAAAGAAACTGTCCTTCCACAATGTATCCCCCGAGTGTGATGACAGCTAAAGGTTTATCCAATACAGTGTGGTCCGGAGCAGGGCAAGGACTCAGGGCCTGAGCCTTAGCAATTTTCCATGTGCCTTGGGAATGACTGACCTGAGTTTGATTCTCTGCTTCCCCAGTGACCTGCAGGATGAGTTTATCTCGCCGTGTGGAGCCTGCAGGCAAGTCATGAGAGAGGTAAGCAGCTTCCCTTTCTAGAAAGTGAACCGGATGAGTCTCCTTTCCAGGCTGTGGGCACAATGCCAGGCCACCAGGGAGAAGACCTGCTTGCTCCGTGAGCAGGTCTCCAGTGGCCTTCTTCCTCCGTTCGCATGGGTCACTGGGGAACGATTCTCCCTTTCAACAAATGGTTACTGGGTGAGTGCCGGTGGCTATTGAGCTGGGTCTGGGAAAGGACACGTAAGGTCCTGGCACACCCACCCCAGCCCCGAGCTTGCCGTCTAGTACAGGAGACAGACACTGAGCAAGGGCAATAAGCAGAGTTTGAGAGGCTGCAGAGAAAGGAATGCAGGAAAACAGCGGAGAGTACGTCAGAGTAGCCATTGCTTTAGATCCTGGTGACTCGGCTGCCAGGGAGCCAACACCGTCTCGTGGCGCCCCCCGTGTGTCTCGGTGTAGAGTTTTCAGTGACTGGTGTTTTTGCATCAATCGATTGTCAGACCTGTCTTCCACCTGGGCCAAATCTGGCCTGTTGCCCGGTTTTGTAAACAGAGGCTTACTGGAACACAGCCACATGCATTCATCTGATTGGTCCATCGTTTGTGTTGCCCATCGCTGCTGCAGGAGTCCTGGTAGAGTAGTGGTTATGCACTGGGCTGCCATCCTCAAGACCCACAGTTTGAACCACCAGCTGCTTTGTGGGGCGGGGGGGAGACAGGGCTTTCTACTGTTAAGTGTGACAGTCTGAGAAACTCACGGGCAGTTCCACCCTGGGTTATGGGGTCGTGATGAGTCGGCAGTGAGCTTGGTTGGCGCTACTGGTCAAACTATTCCCATGGAGTTGGTACTGACTCTCTCTCAGTGGTCCTACAGGACAGGGTAGAATCCTAGCCTTGCCAAGGCTGTGAATGTTCACAGCAGCACACTGCCCACTTTTCTCCTGTGGGGTAGCTGAGTTTGGGGTTCACAGCCAAGTGTGCTTTAACCGTTGTGCCTCCAGGACTCCCCAGTTAAATCAGAGGCCAGGCGACCCTTGGTGGTGGTGGTCACATGCCATCAGGTTGAGTCTGACTCTCTCTCATAGGACCCTGTGTGGGAGTAGAACTGCCCCATAGGGCTTCCTAGGTGCTAATCTGGGGTGAGTGTGAGTTTGAGTGTGGGGGTGTGGGGGTGTGAATGTACAGTTTTGGTGGGAAGGAGGCGGATGCCAATGGCTTGTGTGGATTCTCAAAGAAAGGGGGCTATTCCTGCCACAGTCCCTAAAGACAAAAGCAGGGGCTAAAGGAGCCCCACCTGCCCGTGGGCTCTGCCTGCGGACCTCGGTTCTCCTGTGAATCAAACCAGTCGCCTTGGCCTCCACTGCCCTCCTGGCAACCTCAAGTCAGAGCCGAGGCCTCAGACTCGTTACAGCAGGTCAGTCCTGACTGACAACGTGAAACCAACCGGAAGAGATCCCAGTTTTCAAAATGTTCCCCCGTTCTGCTTATTGATCCTTTTCACGCAAATTTTGAATCTTCAGGTCGAAGGACTGGAACGAGAGACTGGAGAGGGTGGAGAGAGGCCTTCAGGAGGCAGATGCAGGGGGCTGGACGCATGTGTAAAGGGGAGTGATGAGGAGATCATCTTTGGTCCAAATGCCACTGTGCCAACCCTGTGGGCACGAGATTTGATGGCAAGGCAACGCATCTGCGGTCCTAACAAGGAGCCTGTTTCTAGCAGCACTGAGACCTGTCATTTTTCTCAATCTGGTGATAGTTTCCATTCTCCCCAGTTTTTAAAACCCAGGACTGTTCTTCCTCAGCCATGATTGGACCAGGACCAACCTCCTGGAAGCTGCGGTGACCTTAGAGCCAAAGGTCACCCTTGGCAGAAGACCCAATCTCGTGTGTGTGTGTGTGTGTGTGTGTGTGTGTGTGTGTGTGTGTGTTGGAAATGCAGAGTACCCTCAGAAAGAGAGAGAGAGCTGTTTCTAAAATATTTCCATGGGCCAATTTAGGAGCAAGATAGACGTTGTTTTAGGAGAGGAGCCCTGATAGCATAGTGGATTATCAACTGGCCTGTTAACTACCAATTCATAAGTTCAAACACAATAGCCGCTCCGCAAGAGAAAGATGAGACTTTCCGCTCCCATAACGATTTATGCCTTGGAAACCCAAAGTTGTCCCTGCCCTGTGGGCCGGATGGGTCAGAACTGACTCGATGGCGTGAGCTGACTTTGAGTGTGGCACCGACACGCTCCGGCTCCATCAGCACCCTGGGCCCCGAGGTCGCATTCTGCCCGGGCAGAGTAGGGTTTTCAATAGCTGGTGTTCCAGAGGGAGCGCACCAAGCCTTTCTTCCGAGGCTCCTGTGGTAGGACTTGAACTTCCAACCTTCTGATTAGCAGCCGAGTGCATTGTTTGCACCAGCCAAGGAGGCCGCTCTGTACACGGCATCTCATCCTGTCCCAGGCCAGGCCGAGCCAGGAAGTGTGTGTGCTCTTATTATCCCCGTGGTCGCATGAGAGCCCCCAGCTCAGAGATGTGAAACGACATGCTGGCATGCCCGCCAGGTCCTGGCTGGCTCTGAAGGACCCCGCCCCCACCCCTCCAGCCACCCCCATCCCTCCCACTGCCTCTTTGTCTGGATCAGTGGTTCTCAACCTTCCTCTTGCCGCGACCCTTTCATACAGTTCCTCATGTGGTGGTGACCCCCCAGCCATAACATTATTTTCATTGCTACTTCATCACTCATTTTGCTACTGTTATGAATCGTCATGTCAATATCTGATATACAGGATGTATTTTCTTTTTTTTTTTTAATCATTTAATTAGGGGTTCATACAACTCTTATCACAATCCATACATACATCAATTGTGTAAAGTACATTTGTACATTCATTGCCCTCATCAAACTGTCAGTCTTTCAATTAGCTGCCAGGCAATTTCATGGTTTTTGCCATCTAAACACACCGTTCACCTACTTCCTGTTTTTGTTTTTTTTTTCAAAAATTTTTAAATTTTATTTATTTTTTAAAGCATTTTATTAGGGGCTCATACAACTGTTATCGCAATCCATACACACATCAATTGTGTAAAGCGCATTTGTACATCATTCTCAAAACATTTTCTCTCCACTTAAACCCCCAACATTAGGTCCTCATTTTTCCCCTCCCTCCCCGCTCCCCTCTCCCTCATGTGCCCTTGATAGTTTATAAATTGGTATTTTGTCATATCTTGCCCTGTCCAATGTCTCCCTTCACCCACTTTTCGGTTGTCTGTCCCCCAGAGAGGAGGTCACATATAGTTCCTTGTAATCGGTTCCCTCTTTCCTACCCACTCTCCCTCTACCCACCCTGTTTCGCCACTCACACCACAGGTCCTGTAGGGCTCATCCGCCCTGGATTCCCTGTATTTTCAGTTCCTATCTGTACCAGTGTACATGCAGGATGTATTTTCATCGCTATAAATTGAACATCATTAAAGCATAGTGATGAATCACAAAAACAATATGTCGTTATATATTGTGAAATATTTATTTCTAATAACAAATAAATGAAATGTCTTGAAGCATGGTGTAGCATGGGTAACAGTCTTCACGCTAAGTACTTGTAGGTTGGCATATCTGCATGTGGGTGGACCCGCCTGGAGAAGGATAGAAGAGTCGTGTGTCGGTTCCTAAGACCTTGGGAAGTATGTGTTTTTCGATGATCTGAGGCGACCCCTGTGAAAGGGGCATTTGACCCCAAGGGAGTCACAACCCACAGCTTGTGAACCACTGCTCTGGATGGCTCTATAAAGCTAGCGAGCTTCCTTGCCGCTGTGGGAGAAGCTCTGGGGTGCTGAAGGTGTGGGAGCTTCTTGGTCTGTGGGCCTGCCTGCTTTGGGGTTGTTTGTATTGGGGAGGCTTGTTTCAGATTGGTTTTTGTGCTCGTTTGTATTGTATTGGGGAGGCTTGTTTCAGATTGGTTTCAGATTGGCTTGTGCAACATTCTCGTCTGCCCCTACTTCCTGCTGGGGCGCAAGACCAGGCTTCACAGATATACACGGAGCCGGCGCTGAGGCACTGGAGTCCACAGGATGAAACCTGCCTCGCTTTACAGAGACAGAGGTTACTCCCAGCAAAGCGGCTGGTCTGGGGTCACATGAGGGAGCCACATCAGGACACCTCGGCCCTGGCCCGGGCCTCGACTTGGTCCAATAGCTCATTGCTCTTCTCTCCAAGTAGATCAGAGGCTGGCAAACGAGGGAAGCTGAATCAAAGGACTGAGGGGGGGGCTAAACTGGAACCAAAATGCAAATAAGAGATGCGGCAAGGGGGCCAGGGACCTGGCACTTCAACTTGGCCCCACTCAATCGGCCCAACCCTCAGGCAGAGCCTGCCCAGCAGAAAACAGTCCTTCTTTGAAACATTAATTTTTTAAAGATCCAGATGACGGATGATGCCCGGTAATAACTGGGTGATGCAGACAGACAGGCGCTTGGGAGAACAGCAGGCTGCACGTCTGGGCAGCCACTCGCAGTCAGCGTGCTCAGTGAGAAGGGCGTCCGTGAACTGAGACCCTATGACGTGGGGCCATGCACACAGGTAGCAGATGCCCCGTGTCTCTAATTTTCACACCACCCGGCCAGGTAGAGCGCCGTCTGTTGACTCTAACTCCATGTTCTCCCCATCATGGGGCCACCGACAACTAAATTCACCCCGAGGCCAGCCCTGTGTGGCCCACTCTGCCCCTCTCTAGCACCACTTTGCAGGCCAGCTGGGAAGGCCGAGGTCACCCAGCCAGCACGTGGAAGCTCCTGGTGGTGCAAGGAGACACACGGGGAGACAGATTTGCACAAAAATGCCTGCTTCTCTGGCTTCACTCTGCTCAACCTCTGTTTCCTCCTCAGTAAGACGGGGCTGACGATAACAGCACCTCCCTCCTCCGAGGATGCTGGAGTAAGGCCTGCGCACACCTGGTGTCCCCGGCACAGGAGGTGCCCTGGTGGCCCGGCTCAGCTGCTAACTGGAAAGTCAGCAGCAGTCTGGACTCCCCC